GGATCAAGCGAGCCGATGCAATCTTATGAAAGAAGTAGTCCTAACATTTTATCTGATTTTTTTTTTCTCGGATACCTAGATTTTTTTTGGGTACCGTTATCGTTGACTTCTCGGGCGTCAGCAGTGAGAAGCAACCCCTCACCCCGAGGAAATCATAGCCTTGAAAATAAGATATATTTCCGGTAGTTAACATCTCTTTCTGTTGATGAAGCGAAGTCCGAAATGCCAATTATACCGGTACCTTCGTGAGTAGGGTAATGATGATTTCATGGCCGATATTTGTAGAACACCACGGGGGGTTTCTGGTTCCTGATACTGCATCCGGGCAAGCCTTTCTTCTTCAGGGTATGGTTAAAAATGACCTCGGCTTTGCGGCCATATATCTTCACTCTTGCAGGAGATTTTTCACTGATTTGGCACTGCGCACGGGCCGATTATTCCCGACAGAATTGTGAAATCTCATCAAAATTCCTTCAGCCAGAACGAAACGAAAGGTACATCAAGTGGGGAAAAAAATAATCAGGTTTGGTTCAAGTTCCTTCAGTTTCTTCTCTGTCACTGTCTCCGAAGTAAACGGGAAACAAATTTATTTATTTAAAGCAAAATATTTTAATTATACCGGTGCTTATTTATCGATCAGTCTTAATCGGGAAAAAAAAGTTAGTAGAGCATATTAAACAAAAGGCCAGTCAGAAAAGCGACTCTTGGCGGAATACATGTTTGATCTGGTCTGGATCGGATAAGCAGTAAGAAAGCGATGGCGTTTTTTTCACTCGACTCCATGCACGGGCTCTCACGCTCATTCTCAATTTCGGACTTCTTCTAAGTAGCTGCTCATAGCGTCGCTTGGGCACAACGAATCACGATGTGGTTCACAGGCGTTTAGGGAATATTTCAATCTGTTGTGCGTAGTGAATGTTTTTGGCGAGTATACCATGCGAAAGAAAAGATACACAAGATCAAAGTCGAGTATCTTTCCTTATACTGAGATGCGCTCTCTTGGGGAAAAAAAGAACTTTTTCTTCTTCCACTTTGTTCATGTGAAAGCTGGAAGCATAGACTGGGTTTCATTTGTCACACATGAACAAGCGACAGTTAGGACTCAGCTGTTTACTGGCCATTTGGAGACTTCTGTATTTACAAAACCCTTCAGCATTACTGAGTAGAGTTGGTGAATGTGCAGGACTCAAAGACTGTAGTTCAAGAAATAAATATAAATCGGCTTTTATATATTCAAAATTGTATTTCGGCTGGAATTCATTGTAGGCACCTCCATCAAAGCAGCAGAGCATGAGAATCCAGACCATGTGGGAGGGAACAACATGGAAAGGTACACAATAAACTCAATATCACATTCACATATTCCATTTCTGGAGGAAGGGAAGAACACAGGCATAGAAATTTCTTCCAATCCAGCATCACCTAAGTTCTGGTTCACCTGCAAGGAAGAAAACCATGATATAAATGTCAGGTTTTGTACTGCTTTCATACTGCACTCAAACTTCTCTGAATAAACATCAGAATAAACAGCTGTTGGCAATAAAAATAAAAATTAAATATCATGATGGGAAAGACAAGTCTTGTAATGCATCTACTTGGGCATCACTTCATGATCTTGTTTTACAAACTACATTCACCTTCTGAAACTCAACCACCATTCAAAACTTATGTTTTTATATGGTTTGGGTCAGTGGTTCTCAAACTGTGTGCAGCAGCACCCTGGGTGCTGCCAGAAGCTGGCAAGGGTGTCGTGGGCATTGAGAGAATTTTTTTTTGGGCCTTCCAACAAGGTAGCACAATGAGGCCAAAAGTCTAAAAAGCAACTGGTGTGTTTGAGATGTACTATATGGAGCAAGTAGGAAACCTCTTCTTAAGAACCGCTTCTGAAGTGCAACACTTCTGGCTTGATAGATATTTTCTTAACATAAGTGCTTACCAGGGGTATGCAATATGAGTAAATTTTGATAATAACTGACTCATATTGCATACTTCTGGTATGCACCTTTATTAAGAGAATATCTATCAGGGAGGAATGTCAAGATCAATATTGTTACTGCAACAAAGACACAGATTCCTTTTTTCTGGATATATTTTTCTATAATTTCTTATTCTTGGTACTAAAAACAAGTCTATGTTATATCTAATCATTACAAGTGAACTGCAAGAGGTCATTTCAAAATGTGAGCAGATGATTTAATTCTTAGGGCAACCAAAGACATGCACAGGTATTGCATTGGAGTGAAAAAAAAAGTCTGAAGACTTTTTTAAGGAATGATTTTTCCTGGTGACAGATCAAAATAAATATGTCATGCATGAATTCAGAGGTCCTGGTTAGGCTTATATAATAATATTGTTTACATTGGAGGTTCGTGGATGTGCTGGAGTGCTGCAAATGTCTTGCTATCTGGAGGGGGTGTCATTACAAAGAAAATGTAGAGAACAGCTGGTTTAAGTTGATTACATATGAATAAAGAAAAGGTTAACACGTTGACTGCCCATGTCCAGTTAATTAGTCATCAATGGCAGCAGAACCATTAGCATAATGGTTGTGATGGGCAGTCAATGTGTTAAAGATGCTTCATGGTGAAGATATTGATATTTTTTATATATATGATCATGGGGAAAAACAAGGGGCATCCATCCCAACATTCCTTCCCCTTTGACTCATTGCTCCATCTCCAGAATATACAGGGTGGGCCAAAAAAAACCCAGACAATTTTCAACGGTATACTATACAGCACTTACAGTGTATATTTTGATGCAGTTTGTGCCATTTGAAGGGGAATGAATAAGCTTTACAACGGTGTATTTACATTTAAGTATCTTCAACAGTTTCAGAAATTCAGGAGCTCATATAAGCACCAAGCAAAAAATTATGTTGCCACAGGACAGGTTAGGGATGGACAGACAGCAGCCTTCATGACTGAAGGTCACAAGCCATCTCCCTCTGAGAATGTGGCAATGCAGGTTTTTATTTGCTGTTCATATGAGCTTCCGAATTTTTGAAAATGCTGAAGATATTTGATAGGTAAACACATAATTTTAAAGCTTATTCATTACTCTTTCAAATGCTGCAAACCACATTAAAATATCTGCAGTGCATGAAGTGTAGTTTATCATTGAAAACTGTCTGTTTTTTTTTGGCTCACCCCGTATACCTTTATCATCAGAAACTCCATACTTTCTTAACACTTTAATGCTTGATTTTTTCATTTTCAGAAAAAAAAATCTGGTTGGTTTCACTTAAGTCCTGGAACACAGGAAGAATGGAAAAAAATATTCTCTCCTCCAATTTTTAAGCTGAAGGCCTGAGCATTTTCTGTTGCAATTATTGTTGTTCATTGTTTTAATACTTTTTGGTTCAAATCTTAGCATATATTCTACACTATGCATGAAAGAGTTAAAATTATGATTTAGGATTTATTAGTGAAGGTTGCAGATGTATAAGGCTTATAATTAAGAACTGATCCAGTAAATAATATAAGATTATAGGAAACATATACAGCATTCTTCCAAAGTTACTGTTCATTGATAGTTCTTGACTATCATCAATTAACAAGGAAGAGGCCCCAGTTGCTCATGAGAATCTGGGAAGTCTTAAGTAGCATAATTTTGTTTTATATTACTGCTGGAAAAAGGTGTGAAATTGGCAAACATTCATTGGCAATTTCCACTTTGGCAAACTTTGTGAAGATCTGCTTATTGGTGATTACATTCTAATCACATTATCTACATAAAAATTTTTACTCCTATTATTACCATTATCCTATCTGAAAGAATACTTTGACAGGGAAAGACTTGGCTCACCTTGGGAAGATGTTTTTGAAGATAGGAGAGCTTTTTTAATAACAGCCCAATCTAGCATGATGTCTTCATCCCGCAACATGTAGACAATGTAAGGACCAGATACAGGGGTGGGCTTTTTCCTTTTCCCTTTTTGTCTGTTAGTCATTTCTGGATCTGAGCTACCTTCCCTCCTTCCTGCTGTTCCCCCAGAGTTTTTATGCTTTCCCTGCACAGTTCTCAGCTCCCCAAAATCACTGAACTCTGCACTAAAACGATCCTCTTCCAACTTCCTGATTCGATCTTCCAAGTCTTGCTTCATGTGGTTGTACAAGTCAATCTTCTCAGCCTGTGGGACAAGAAGGAAAAAAAAGTCACAATGTAGTTAAACCTAATAGATTTAAATTGATACAATTACAAGCCCTGCATGCTGCTGTTTTATTTAACTATATATAATAAGGGAGAGAAAGGTCATTTTAAATTTCAGAGTTGTTGTAATTCATCACAGATTCCCATATGAAAATTCTGCCATCCTTCTGTCAATCCTTGAATAAATTATGATGAGGGCTGGTTCCAAATTTCCCAGAAGTTTTGAACCAGCCCTCAGCCAGTGGTTAGGCAAATTCTGAATTTCTGCACATAAAAGGGTTAGTGTTGAGACTTGTAATGGTTGAAATGATACCTAGATTCAATTACACATATGCTAACGAGGTCAAATTGTTCACAGGAGATTAAATCCCACCAATATCAGGTTTTACAAGTTTTAATTTGTTATGTTGTCTCTGGAAAAAAAGTTTAAGTCTACATCTTAATCTCCACTGAATCCAAAGAAATAATTATATTTTCACAGAGGGGTGCCTATTCCAGCATACAGGCCACCATAGGAAAAATTTTGAAAGTTTTAGACTAAAAGCAAAAACCCTCTGACATTTCATGCAATTCCACCCATAAGCAGAATAGGCACAGGAAATGGCTTTAGCCGTAAACATACCCAACAGAGATAAACAAGAGAAACTTTTTTCCCCAGAACATCATGAAATTAGGATCTATGCTTACATATTAGTGAGATATACTCAAAATGCAATCTGCAGCAGTGTATGTTGCTGCACTTTGAGACCATTCCATAACATCATTCTGTGTATGCTCAACAGCTGAGCCTAAGAGCCTGAATTGATAAAGTGACTTTAGGAAGACAACATATACATAATCCATGCATTAGCTCTTAGAGTAGTACATATTAAGACTTTAATCTCTGAAGGACTTTTAGATTATGTGCCCTCAAAAATTTTCAGGACATGAGGATGGTGAGATTTCCTACCATGTAAAATTTTAAGCTCTTGGATCAATAAAACATCTAAAATGTAAAAATAATTCTCTTAGCCAGAGCACCAAGTTCCTGTTCAGTTTTCATGCAATTGGATAAGATCTTAGAAAAGGATGCTTGCCTGATATTTGCTTTAAAAGTAAGACTATAGTCATAATAGGAACTTACCTCATGGCAGCACTTGGCAGCCTTAGCTTCTTCCTCATGTCGCATGGATGCAGCTGCAAGCCGTACCTGCCACAAGACACCAGCAACTTCAATCCGAACCCCCATATTATCCTGCAATTCCTCAAGAGGTTCCAGATACTCTTTGGCTGTCCCTGTTTTCACCTCAGCCAGTTTCTCTTCAACCTGCTTCATTCTTTCTTCATATAGTCTACAGAGAAAATAATGATCTGATTTCCTGTACCACATTTTGTAAGGAGTATTATGTATAAAGCATTCATGACACACTGAAAACAGACTCAGTCTAGGTTTGACAACAAATCAAATCAATATTATATATTAATTAGAACAAATTCTATGCTTATTATCATGTCAATATGCTGAATGGGGGAGGGAGAGAGAAAGTTTTAAAAGCCCTGGATATCATTCATATCACTCATCCTTTGCTTTATAATTTTTAGTCTTCTAACTTGTATATATGTATAAAGTGAGTTTTTACAGACTGCCTTGAGAAAATATCAATACAATGGAGGAACGAGGGGATACCAGAAATTAATATAAATTTCTGATCATGCTATTTTATAACACAACAGTTCTTGCACATCCTTGGCAATAATCCAAAATTATGGAATGGTTCTTTGGCTTCCCAAAGGGCTCAGGGGGTACAAAACTCATGCACTGAAGCAAGCTTTCTTAGTTCTTGCTATCTGAGCAAGGACCATCATCTTTTGAATGGCTAGACATCTTTGACAACTATTAGGATGAGATGCAAATTATGTCAAGCAATAATGATATACTGAAAATTGAAAAAAGTGCATGAAATTGGTATGCTTTAGCATCCTGTTACTTTTAAGATCCTACTGCTACCCATAAGACAAGAAAGATCAGGTCCCTTGAACTACTAGCGATAAAGTTAATCACGCGTGACTTCAAGTTCACACAATATATTTTCTGTCTATTACAATATACTTCAACTTTTATAAAATCTTAATGTGCTGGGACATGAATGCTTTCATGATTATTGCAATGGCAGAATCAACATTGCTGGTAACCATATAGAGTGTTCCAAAATTGAATGAACATAGGTTTTCTGCTCTGCTTATGGTCCAGAAAGGCATATTCTTGTAGGCCTCATGTGTTAGGCTAATGAAGCAAAGGTAGTGACCCAGATACAAAATCCTTGTCCAGTCAATTCTGGGAAATCCTATATAGCAAAGCTCATACCAGAGGTACCACTAGGATATGTGTGGCAGACCCAAGTCCCAAGTGTAGAGTGGCAACTCACTTTTCCCTGATTAGAAAGAACTGCTTCTCTGTAGCTGCCATTTCCTCTAGAATTCTACTTCTTCGTCTTTCACACTCCTCCTCATCCATCACTGTTTCAGAAATCAATATCATTCATTTTTCTTTCACAACATTAAGCTAGTCTACACTAACATTGTATATACAACATATAATTAATTAAACTGCATATAAAAGTGACCTAAGTATTGCAATATCTGAAATTGCAACTTTAATCAGAATCTTTCATACTGAAAAAGTTTAAAAGACAATGACAATCAATTACAAATAATCATTCTAAACAGGTCCCTAATTTCCTTTCAAATGGATCTTATCTATAGAGAAAGATAGCAAATGAATTTCTCTTTCAATGCCATTATCAATACAGACCAGTGAAGACCTACCAAATAAGATCAGATAATATGGCAATATCAATAATGCTTTGCTTTGCAATGCTTTTCTAAACTCATTGAATGCAGTATTTTATGTTTCCTTTACAGAAAGCATTTTTAATCAGCTTCTTTACAGGTGGTGATTAAAAAGATTAAGCATTAAATGAAGATTAACTTTCTTAGATTAATAATTTAAATTTATTGACCATTTAGCACCCCTAGAACTCTTAATCTTAGCCTACATCTCATTTGAAAGGCACAAAAAGGAACCTTGATATACCTACCAAGGTAAACAAAATGAAAGTTTTAATTACCTCTACTCAATTCAATATTCAATTCACCTGGTTTTGACTTATAAAAAAAAACTTTTAAAATTGACCGTGATTCCTGCATGATCAGCTTAATTAACATACTCCTCATTTTGTCAATTTGAATATCAGGTAGACTCATGTTTTGAATCACCCAGCTTGTTGTCTTATGAATGCTGTTTATAATATGGAAAAGAGGATGATTTGAGTCTTTATAGATTGCATGGTAGATGCACTTTCCACTGACTTTCCCTTTCCTGCTGGAATCTGATAGTTGAAGAAGTTCGGTTCCAAGAGATGGGCAAGCCTTTCCAGAATCCTCTTGATATGATTTAGAAACATCCTTTAGTAGATTGATGGCAAAAAGGTCCAGCTTCATATGTGGTCTTTTTTTCATGGAACAAACATGTTTGTCAAATTTGAGTTATTATCAATTGTTACTCCTAGGTATTTGACCTTTCTAACAGGCAGGATGTCTAAACCTTCTATACTTATAGGACAATTCTTGAGCTCCAGGAGAGTTGAGTTTTTGAGTCCTTTATCAGAGATGATAAGTTCTTGGCATTTCTTTGGTATATGACATGGGCCTTCTGAGACTGCTTAGTCATGGAGATGTTGGACACACTGCATGGCAGTTGAAATCAGTTTCTGATTTAATCAATTCTGCAATTACCACATTGTCAGTGTAGAGGGTATACAGGAAAGAATAGAAAATACTGCTTTCGTAACATCCCTGTTTTATAGGGAAGGGTGTCTGACTGCCCTTTGCACCACTGTACATATAGCATATTCACAATGAGGTAGCAGAGGATTTCTGCAAGAAGCAAGCCTGGAATCTCTTCCTCTGCTAGCCAGCAAAAGAGATGCTATTCATCTATGCAGTTGAAAGCAGAGTTGTAATCATCAAAGAGGCTGCAAATGAGGCTTCCTGTTGTTGAGTTATATGCAATGATATAGGCAATGAAAATGTATGACAGCATCAAGCATTGACCTATTACATGCATATTAGACAGGATAAGATAGAGCTCTGTATTTCTTCAGTTGATCAAGTAAGATGCATTTATGGACCTTCAGGAATGGTAAAGTATCGCTGACAGGACTTAAATCCTTACCTTAATTTACCTTCTGAGGTGTTGACTTTTCAGAATTGAAGTGATTTTCACCTTCTTCATAGATTCAAGAGATCTTTAAAATGTAAGTAGCCACTGATTGAATTTTTTATAGGTGTGGCAATGAATTACAATGACAACAGTACATCACTCACCTGATTCATCAGATTCTGATTCATCTGAAGATGATCCACTTCTTTCTGAAGTTTTTGTTGACTCTGGAGATTCATTTTGACCTTCTTCTTCACTTTCATCATGGCATTTCTCTCTTGATGCTCCATTGGAAGCTGATTGCTGATTCTTTGGTAAGGGCATTATTTCCTGTGTGCACCATGCACAATCACATGCAATGAATGAGAATGATACGTCAGGCTTATTTGGTATTAAGAAACAAATAGGAACAACTTCTTAGGTGCATGATGGAGATCTATGTCTAGGTATATGTCCCTAAATGCAGGTATGCCAAGGAAATAATGGGATTGGGAAAAGGATGGATCATCATTCCACAACTCCCTTCCCCGTTTTGACAATAATCAGATATGTGCCTGATGTGCCATCCACAACTCAACAGCAAATGACTCTTGAAGATGACAAAATCTCTCATGGAAACAAGAGGATGAATTCAATTAGGCAGAGGCTCAGTGGCTGAACTATGCCCTTGGCATCTATAATGATTAATATATGATTGCTAGATTGACATTAAGCATAAGAGGAGACTAACCGTGCTTCATTAACACACTTCTTCATATCCTAGGCCCATAGAATAGGATGGGGTGAAGCTGACATGACCAGGCATGCATATCAGTGTTACTGTTTTTACATGATATACACCATATTCATTCTTCCATTTAGTATGCCCAAGAGGGGATGATGCCGCCGATTCCATAAGGAGTAGGAGCTCTGGTAATTCAGTGTTTACACTGCACCTGGAACTTGATTATGGAATTAGGTGGGAAAAGCAATTTGCAAGGAAAGGCAAAAAAGATGAGTCAATACTTTTTATATGAGCATGCCTAGATTCTAGGCTCACTCCATAATTCTTTTAATGTCTCTTCATGTAGTTAACAGAAAAAACCTCTTTCGTGAAACACCTAATACACCCAGGATGCCATGGAACAAGCTTTGTGTCAAATGGTATCCACTTGAGAGAGAGCAAAGAATGACAGCTGTCACCCTCAGAACAGAATTTCAATATCATTTCATCCCCTTCTGTCCTATGCGGTATGGGATGGGGTTTCTTACTGGTCACCGGTCGATGGTGGAGGATGTAATTTTGCTTCCTAATAAATGTCTCAAAGCCGACTGGCAGAGACTACATTAACTACGTTACGGGTGATATTCACGATTTATCACTCGACTCGGACACTCGTGCATGGTGCGTTCCCCATACATGATTGTCCAAGTTATGCGAAGAAATGTCTTGCCCGAGCGAAAAACACTGTACAATCGCGGTCAATTTCCCAATCGTAATCCTAAGGCCTATGGAGATCCTATGCGTCCAATCTTTAACTTCGTCGACCGTGGCTTGACTGGTGGCTTCATACGGCCGTCTCCACCGTCACAGAGTAAGCACCTCAATGCTCAAAGCCAACGTGCTCTTCCGTCCCGCGCTCCGCATATATAAACTTGTTACGCGGTTGCCTACCCGTCGCCATTGCTGAGCTTGCTTAGGGACTGCCGCTTCCTGCAGGTGTCGCGCTGATTTCATCTATCATGCTGGCCGCCTAGAATGCCAAACTCTTTCTTTGTACCGAACTGTAAGACCGAGAATGAAACACCTGACAGCCCACGCAGTACAAGTGTATCCCAAAGATATCCCAGAGATATTCCTCTGGGACAAGTGAGAAATCCTATATATAATAATCCCATAGACTTGGGACGCCTTTGGGAAATCAAAATATCTGGGTGCCTTTCTTTCTGAAAAGGGCTCATTTCTTTCTATACAGGACCACTCGCTAAGATGTCTCTACTGAACCTTCTAGAACTCTCCAGTCTTAATTTCTTGACCGATTGGAGGCTAATGTTAATGAGGGAGAGAATTCTTTACTTGAAAGACTCCAATAAAGAGACACCCCAGATAACATTTTTCGTGGGGCCCACATTGGTCCAACGTGGTCCAACGTCAGGATACGTTGGCCCAACGTAGGTTGTTCACATAAGCCCCACGTGAAAGTGACAGTTGGTCACTGGCCAACGTTGGCAGTAAGTTGGATAGCAACGTATAACCCACTTACCCAAGTAGCCTGTTTTTGCTCTATATAATCATCATTTCGTACCACATACTTGGACGTGGAACTTCCCCCGACTGTACTGATAACAGGATATGACATAGAATGGACCACCTCGTATGGTACCATAAAATGTCCGCGATATCAGTCATTTATTTCCGCCTCCTGCAGTGGGGATAAGGAAATAGCGGGATTAAGTTCACGGACGCCCGCTCTATAATTTCGAATCTCCTTTTCGGATACAATCCTCTTGGCTTTCAAATGGGTTCTCATCTGGAATGAGTTTGTTCATGGCCTGAGCTCTATGAATCTGTCTTGAATAAGTGAATAACAAATGATGAAATGTCCACGTTTATTGATTCCTATGAGACTAGGCGAGACATATGGTGAAGTACTAAACAATCCTGCGAAGGACGATTCCAGGAAAGGAGGGAAGGGAACTTCTGCGTGCTGTGCGAAAAGCGAGACCCCATACCTCCATCTAGTGGCCTGGCGAAGAACTTCAAGGTTTTGAAGTTCTCCACCAGGAGTTCTGCAGCTCTTTTCAACGTGTGGATATGCACACGTTGGGCCCACACGGGGCCAACATCGTTCCCCAACATTCATGTTCCGCCAACGTTTCCCACCTTTATCCAATGTGGGCCCAACATAAAGTGTTATCTGGGACATCTCCGTAGGATAAAGTTTACCTCATTTTATGAGAATTCGCTCAGTTTCGTGAACGAGATACAAAGGCCTTCTTTCTCTAGAGCTGAAACATGGGCTCAGATTTCCAACCAGGATAGTGGTACTCAGACATGCCGATCAGACATCATTAATAGGAATAGAATGGAGTACATTAGAACCACAATATTTTCGCTTTCCTCAGTGGCAGTTTTCCTGACGTACGGTACGGAAATCATTGATTCTCTTCTGTACAAATCAAGTTAATAAAATTGTTAGAAAAGTTCTGAGGTTGGTGATCAGGGCACGTGGGAGACATACACCGTCAAAGTTATGCACCTAACTGAAGGTGACAAAGACGACTGAAGATGTCTTAAAGACATCCCTGATATGTCCCGAAGACATCTCTTACGGGTATATTCAGGAGCATTCGTCTAAGGATGTCTAAAAAAAAAAAACTTTTCTAAGATGTCCTTAGGATCTCCTATAAAGACCTTGGGGCGAGTTGTCCCGTTGGGGAAATCCCTGGGATGTCACCGTACTGTGTAGAAGAGCATTCCTGAGGCATTAATGCGTATACCCTCGGTGCCTTCCCACTTTTGGTAAATTGATATCCCGTGTGAATTGCAGTCGTTGGATAAAAGAGACTAGATGGTAGAAAAGTGTCTCCCCAACATTGAGATTTTCAACTTTAACATTGCTAGTTAAGTAGGAGGAAATAAGGGAAAAAAAATCTGGGCTTCAAATTCTCTATATTCAAGATGTTATTCAAACATTTGGCAACTGGGTTCAAGGTGGTAGCCTCCATTCATCCCTAATGCAGATGCCACTGGTACTACATCCGACTTCGAATGCCTCCTGGAGCTGTTTCACCCGTTTCATTCAGCTTGCGTCATGCCGTTCTTAAATAAGACTCAGATGTTACTTATACGGATGTTTCTTTCCAGTCATTCCCAAGCAAAACTTGGAAAGTACTGGCTGGATGAAACAGCACATCAATCCAGAGCAGAACTGGCTAAACAAAATCCAAATCCCAATTGTTAGTTGCCCCATCGGTCAAGGAGTGTTTGGTTAATCAAAGCTGAAGAGGAAACTGAGGCCGGAATTGCAACTAAAGCTCAACAAGTTCGTTCCTGTTCGAGTGGCCTACCCTTCTGCATAACGTAAGCCTGTTTTGACCTTCGTATTGGCTTGCAGTAGATTTATCTATAATAATATTTTCCATCCAGCTGGTTTATATCAAAAGGATATAACTTCCTTTGCATTCTTCCCTGGATATCCCTTTGCTCTCTCTCTCTTTATTCTTTTCCTTATACCGAAAAAAAGGCAACATAAAAATAAAACCATATCCATGATTAGATTCATCTTCGCCGGTGTACACCCACGCTTTCATATACTGTATCATCTTGTATTCTACTTCATTTCCTTCAAGAACCACCCGGGAAAAATATTTTCGGGGCCGCCTGTGTTTTCAACCCCCTGGCACACCCTCGCTCAAAATAATCGCTAACCGTGTCAAAATAATAAGGTGTGAAAATTAGGAATTCAGATCCTATTTAAAACAAACCCCCGTCCCCCTATCTCGCGCAAAAAAGTTATTTACGATAATCAGGGGTAGGCATGACTTTTTCCTACCTTCTACTTGTCACACGTGAAAACAAATAGGGTAAAACATCTAAGTTCGGACACCATTAAATAAATTGTTAAAAAACAAAACATTTACGAGGTCATCCTCAGAAACAGCTTTTTCGACGCTGCAAAGGACTGTTTCTGAAAGAAAGCGCACCGATGCTTTTTTTTTTTAACGATGTACCTGATAGTGTCTGAACTTAGGTACTGTCCGAAATTAGATAGATGATTTTACCCTAACGAATAAAATAATAAATACAGTAAAATTTTCTGAGACCCCTGTCGTCCCCACCTTGTTTTCTTGTACTTCTTCAAACAAGTGTACCTGCGAGGAGCAGTGTTCAGACTCCGCTTTCCCCGGGATTTTCGGTATTTCAACATTGAAAAATGATTCTTTATAATCACTGCTTGAGCGTTTTTTTTTTTAAGCCAGGCAGAAATCTCCCTTCTTCATCTGAGATGATATATTGCATGTCTCGGATGGATATTTAAAAAATGAACCCTTTTTTTTTTAGAGTGTACGGTACATTCCATTCCAGATCACCTCGACCATGAGCCATTCAAAATAACCGATGCGTGGTTAGAAAAATATACGGTCCGAGTGCACATGAATGTCACATGCAGCTACTTCCAGATTATTTCCTTTCCTCATGTTCAAATATGGGCTCCATTTTTTGGCGACGGTCCAAAGTCACTTGTACTGGAACAAAAACTGGAACACCGTAGTCTCCATAAAGATATAGATTACCATGGCAGACTGTGCACACTATGCAACCACGGAGAGATAGAAGACGAATTTCATT